AAGAATAGCAATCAAACTCTCTAATAACCGCCTTTCCTCTACAATCCAACTCCGAAACAATTATATCTAGGCATAATTAGTTCAATAATATCAATAAGGGCTCAAAAACATAATCCCATAGCCTAGAAATGAAATTCCTATCATTCTTCGAAAAACACCAAAATTCGACACCGGTCCCACATGGTCCAAACACGAGGCTCGGACCCAAACCCAATCACCCATAACCCCACGAGTTCAAATATATAATTTATTTCAAGATTCGACCCCAAATTGAGGTTGAATCACCCAAAATCCCCAAAGCCCTAAATCTACCCAAAACCCCCATTTTCTACCTTGAATTCATGATTTAGGGCTAGGAAATTAGTGATTAGTGGAAGGAATTAAGAGGGAAAGAAGTTAAGAACACTTACCTAAGAGGCTATGGAGAAAGAAGCTCTTCAAAATCGCCTATGGAGTGTTAGGGAGAGGAGCTCGTGTGAAGAAATGGCTAAATCCCGAGCTACTGATTCTGTTTTGGACTTAAAAATTCGCTGGGCAAAATTGCCCTTCGCGTTCGCGGGAAAGGGGCCGCGTTCACGAAGGGTAAACTGGACACTCCATCGCGAACGCGTGAAATAGAATGCGAACGCGTAGAAGAAAATGTTGGGGGATCCAGGGACTGTTATACGCGAACGCGTGAGGGGCCATGCGAACGTGTTGAGGAAGCTGGTAAAGCTACGCGTTCGCGATAGTGAGGATGCGAACGCGAAGGAGGGGGAATTAGAATTACGCGATCGCGTGAAGTAGGACGCGAACGCGTAAGAGGGGAAGACCAAAGCACTGCGAACGCGAGCCTGAGGCCGCGTTCGCGAAGAACAAAATGCCTGTGTAAAAATGCAGCAGAATCTGATCCTTTCCTAAGTGTAAAAATACCCCGAACCACCTCCAATTCACTCTCGAGCCCTCGGGGCTCCTAACCAATCACACACACTAACTCAATAACATCCTACGAACTTACTCGAGCGATCAAATCGCCAAAATAACATCAAAAATCATTGAATCAAGCCTCAAGATCATCATTTTCATTTCAAACTTCCTAACTTCAAATTTTAGATATTTAGGTCCGAAACACGTCAAATGACATCCGATTTCGACCAAACTTTACAGAAAGCGCTTAACATATATTTAAGACTTGTACCGGGCGTCGGAACCAAAATACGAGCCCGATACCATAGTCTTTTAATCAATTTTCATTTTCATTTTCCTTAATAATTTCAGAAAAACAATTTCACAGAAAAATTCATTTCTCGGGCTCTCGACCTCGAAATTCCACTCCGGGCATATGCCCGAGTCTCATATTTTTCTACGGACCCTCCGGGACCGCCAAATCACGGGTCCGGATTCGTTTACTAATAATGTTGACCAAGGTCAAATTTAATCATTTTAAAGCCATATTATGAAATTTTTCACAGAATTTAACATATAAGCTTTCCGGCTACGCGCCCGGACTGCGCACGTAAATCGAGGCAAGCAGAAATAAGGTTTCAAGGCCTCGACAGCACGGAAAAAGAGAGAAATCCGGTGATGACCCTTTGGGTCGTCACAATACTTAAAAAGTGCAGTGTTCCCAATGCACGTATAACAAAAATATAAAGCAGAAGGGTGGATAGAAGGAACTCCATCGCTAAGCGGACCCATTTGGGTCATAGTCGGAGCCCTCTCTGTCTGACTTCTCATCTACCAATCTACGAGCCTGCCCCGATCTACGAAACCTCGAACCACCGGTTGTGCTCCTCCACAACGCTCACAATGGCTAAAGGCCCATCAACCTCCTCACCAGCCTAGCCGCTATCAGGAGATGGAGGAATAATGTTCCGATCCTCAAACGAGTGGAGCGGGCTACCCGGTGACAATCCCAAAAGCTTCTTGGTCGACCCCAATAATGGACAATCCTGGTTCAGCTTCTGCTTCTCCGTCTCTGTCACCCCCACCTTTTGCAAAAGCAGGCTCATCATACAATACATGTGACGCTGCAGGTTGTCATCCCATTCTTTCCTGGCAGCAGTGCTCAACTTTGGACCATTCTCCGGAGGTATCGCCGAGATATCTAGCAACTCGGTCGGGTGCAGTCACAATATCATCAGCTCCCTCATAAGCCGGCACCTCCCGCTGCAACAACAGATGTGTCAACAGGTTCCCGTAGAAGAACCTCCTAGAGTCATTCTAAAATCTGGTGCGAGTCATCTCATCGAGCATTAACTGACCAATATTGACAAGATTCCCCGTCATCAAAAAATAGATCAAACAAACCCTCGCTCTCGTCAATATGAATAATGCTCACCCAGCACAATACAAGTAAGAACAAAGTTACGCCAGACCGTAGCTGTTCTGCTGAAGTCAGTCCGGCACATGTCCCTGTGGGTGTCATTTCGTTGTGAACAAATCCACTTCGCCATCGAGTTCACCCCACATAATGTCTAACGAATGGCCGAGTAATCTGGACTGCGCACGAACTTTTGAAAAATTCGCGGATCATGGTTTGGAGCCCCCAAAAACTCACAAAGCGCTTGTGCTTGCAAGTTGATCCACACACCTCGCACATCGGCTTCATTTTTCTAACAATGCCAATTAGCATATAATTCTTTCACCATGCTCAAATTAGCTGGCCCGAGGCATTCTAACAAATGGTGTAGCTTCAACTCCTTTATCCAGTCCAAAACGGTGGGAAAATGATGTTCTAAAGCTGTGGTGTTGATGCACATCTCTGAGATATACCGCTCTTATAGTACAAAGGAATGGTACCATCTTTTTGCATCCTCTCTATCTACCTAGAGGGCTGGATGAGGCATACAATGCTGCCTTTCTGAAGGCTCAGCCACGTGGTTTCTTTAACAGATTTGCGTGAAGTAACCTCACTTTGTTTGCGCTTCTTTATGGATAGGACATCCGTAGAAGGCTTTGCCGTTGCCTTTGCCTTTTGCGAACTTTCACGAGCAATTAGTACCACACTTGTGAACAACGAATGGTGCGTTAGTTAAAACTTCAAAGATCCTCTATAGACAAAAGGTAGGGTTGGGGAGACCCAACACTTAAGATTCAAGCAATGCTTCGGGTACTCAATACTTCCCCTTAGCAACCAACAACATCCGCATGTAGCATATGACGGCAGCACATACAATACAATGCATCTCACTACACTTGGACCTTTAAAGTAGATTGATCATAGCATTCTTTGCCCCGAGTTGCTACACTTGCAATTATTATACACTACAATTCAATGAAACACCGAAAAGGGAAAGAAACAATACAATACACGACTAGTGCATACAGATAGGCCCAGGCATATGCCCTTCGTGCACGACATCACTCCCTAATACCCCACACTCATACCTTAGCGCCAACAAACAATGCTCAGCTACTCAGACTTCACCGGCAATCAACAATTTTCTTTCAAGAATTTCATCAAATACTTGGTGGGCAACACTTTCATTCAAGTCTTTCAAAACATTGGACAAGGACCATACTCTCCCAAATTAAACGAGTGGTGAGACTTTTAGTTTTCCACGCCGTAGTCAATTAACAACGCCAAAAAAACATACTCAGTTAGAATTCAATACACACTTGCCAACACTTTACTCTATGGGAAGTTGAGGGGGGGGGGGGGTAGGGAAGAAGACTGAAAGATGATAAAACAAACAGTAACACAAAATCAAGAAGTAATTAAAACAAAAAAGAGAAGAGAAGACAAGAATATAAAAAATGAAAAGTAAGAGAAGAAGAAATACTCACCTAGTGCTTGAGAGAAAGAAGAAGCAGCAAGCGTGGGTGGGTGGGGGGGAGGGATCCGGAGAGAGATAGAGAGAGAGAGAACTGGGTAGGGATTAGGGGTTTAGGGTGTGATGGGTCGGGTTGATTATTGTTCTATGTAGGGATGTTTTATTAATATTAGATGGGGAGACGGGTTTGGGTCGGGTTGAGGGTAAACGGGTAGGGGACTTACCTAGTGTTTTCGTCCGCGCCTGGCGCTTAAAAGGGCAGTTGTGTGAGTTTGTTGTTGCCCTTGGTGTTTTCGTCCGCGCCTGGCGCCCAACTGGGCGTTGAACTGCTATTTTCCTTTTTTTTTTATACTAAATGACAACTAGACGAAAACAAGAAAATTGGGTTGCCTCCCAATAAGCATTTGATTTAACGTCGCGGCATGACGCAGTCAATCGAACTCAAGGTTCACTCAACACTTGAGGCTCCTTCAAATGAATCACCGATACAACTTTTTCCTCATCCATGCCAAAGTAATTTTTCAACCTTTGCCATTGACTCTAAACATGTTCGTTCCATCTTCAGATTAAATTTCTATAGCTCCACTTGAGAACACTTGCACAACTCTAAATGGTCCCGACCATCTAGATTTCAGCTTACCCGAAAATAATTTCAATTTTGAGTTGTACAAAAACACGACATCTACGGGTTTAAAATTCTCTCTTGAATATGTTTATCGTGCATCATCTCATCCTTTCTTTGTACAGCCCGCTGCTCTCAAAAGCATGGTAATGGAACTCATCAAGTTCATGCAGCTCTGTGAGTCTACTCGTACCAGCGGCCTCCATGTCAAGATTTAATTGCCTTAATGCCCAAAAAGCTCTATGCTCTAAATCCACCGGTAAGTGACACGCTTTTCCAAATACCAATTTGTACGGTGACATACAAATCGGAGTTTTGAATGTAATGCGGTAGGCCCATAATGCAGCATCCAATGTTTTCGCCCAATCAGTTCGAGTAGCATTTATAGTTTTGGTCAAGACACTCTTGATTTCTCTGTTTGACACCTCCACTTGCCAACTTGTTTGTGGGTGATACGGAGTGTAAACCTTATTGCGAATGCCATATTTCTCCAACAACTTTGCAAAGGCTCGGTTGCAGAAGTGGGTGCCTCCATCACTGATGACCTCTCTTGGAGTGCCAAATCGGATGAAGATATTTTTCTTAGAAAACAAATAACTCCCTTTGCATCGTTTGTTGGGAGTGTCACGGCTTCTACCCATTTCGAAACATAGTGCACAGCTACCAGTATGTACTTGTTGCCATATGAGCTGACAAATGGTCCCATGAAATCAATTCCTCATATATCAAATACTTCCACCTCTTGAATTGGGTTCATGGGCATCTCATGTCGATGAGAAATTTTCCCCGTCCGTTGGCACTCATCACAGCTTTTACCCAAAAGCGTGCATCTTAAAACAACGTTGGCCAATAAAAGCCCGACTCCAGCATCAATACAAATCGTAAACAAATATGGTTCATCCCAGAAATACATATGACAATCACGAAAGAACTTTTTCTTTTGCACAGAGGACAAGTCATAGTGAACAATACCGCTCGCCAGGTAGTTTGCAATATTTACATACCATAGCGCTACCTCAAGACTCGTGGCTAAAAGTTGTTCATCTGGGAAAGTCTCCACGATCTCTTCCACCTCAACCCTCTTTTCAACTCCTTCAAGTTTGGACAAGTGATCGACAACTTGGTTTTCCGTTCCCTTTCGGTCACGGATTTCCAAGTCGAACTCTTGCAGCAATAGCACCTATCGAATCAGGCACGACTTTGACACCTTCTTCTAAATTAGGTACCTGATATAAGCATGGTCAGTATAAACAATTACCTTCGAGCCTATCGGGTATTGATGTTGGGCATATTTTCATATGTATTGACACCAATTTACCTGTATTTTTACCGCTCTTTTATTATATTTAATATTGAATATGCCCAACTTAGCTTGATTATGGAGTTTTATACTTATTTGGGTGTTAATAAATAATGTAGGTACATTGACGAGAGATTACAGAGCAAAAATAATTAAATTGGGGAAAACTATTTGTTGGAGCATTCAAACGAATCCATACTAATTGGAAGGGGAGCTGTCTTTGTTAATGGATTAATTAGAATTCAATGAGATGAAATTCATGAAGTGAAAATAAAGAAAGAGAGACAAAGACATTACCCGGAAAGGAAACGTTAGGCAAAAGCCACTTTGGAGGAAAGTAAATTGGCAACAAAAGAGCTAAATTTGAAAAACGCTACTGTTTTATACGCCAGGTCCAGCGCTAGGCGCTGGCCTGGACGCTCGAAACGGAAACTTTTCCTACTTTGTTCGGGACAAGTTTATTTCAGTCCTACACGGTCCAAACTTGTATAAAAGAGGTTCTAAACCTAGTTTGAGATGGGAGAACGTTTTTTAGAGGAACTTTTGGTGGAGAGAGAGCACAGAGCAGCCGTGGAGGCCGGGTTTCATCTTTTCTTCCACAAAACATGTAATTTTTAAGTTTCTTTGTATGATTTGTTGTTCGGCTACCATGTCTATGTGGAGCTAAACTTCATGTTTTAGGGTTATGGTTCTTTCATGATTATTGTTATTCGAATATTGATTTTACTTTCTTGATTTATCATATTGGTTTATTTATTCAATCTTGCGCTTAATTATTTGATTTCTTGATCACCAATTGAATACTATCTACGAATCTAGAATTGAACTCGAAAGTGGGAATTCTAGATTGCATATAGGATTGAGTAGAGCAAGTTCTTGAACCTGGGCATCGGGGAACGGATTCGCGGTTAGGATAGACATATACCTAATTGCCTTGCTTGGTTGATGTACAGGAATTATAAATGTGTTCTTGCTAGTTCTAACTCCATAGACATATAGGCGTTAGGTTAGCTTGAATAGGAAAGTAAGAACTCGACAGATTCTCATGAGCAATAATAACCATGTCAACTAATAAGCTAGATGCATTAGTTAGTCAATTCAATTAATGAATACAATAGGAATGTTAGATAGCCCATAAGCCTGGATCGTTTTCATTACATCGATAACATAAAAATCTTCTCTTCCTTTGTTCAGAGTTCATTAGTTATTTTCTGTTTAGTTTAATTACTTTAGCATCACTTGTTTTGGGTTTAATCCTTGTTTAGATAATTAGGATAGTCTAATTTAGTTAATAGTTAATCACAAGTCCTCGTGGGTTCGACATCCGACTTTTAGTCACTTTATTACTTGACGATCGCGTATACTTGCGTGTGCATTTGGCCGCCACAGGTATGACTTGAATTTGTCAAATGTGAACACCATTGATAGCATCTCCTTCTCAGTCACTGTGTAGTTTATTTGGGCACCATTCAGGGTTCTACTTGCATAGTAGATTGGGTGCATCACCTTCTCCTTTCGCTGCCCCGGCACTGCTCCCACAGCATAATTGCTTGCATTGCACATCAGCTCAAATGGTTGCTCCTAGTCTGGTGTAAGTATAATAGGTGCAGACACCAGCCTCTTCTTCAATTACTCAAAAGCTACTCTGCAGTCATCAGAAAACACAAAGGGTGATCTTTTTAAAGCAATTTACACAAAAGGTTAGCAATCTTGGAAAAATCTTTTATAAACCGCCTGTAGAAACCGGCTTGGCCAAGTAAACTTCTTATTGCCTTGACGGAAGTGGGTGGTGGAAACTTCTTTATTACATCAACCTTAGCACGATCCACCTCAATGCCCTTACTTGACACTAGGTGTCCCAAGACTATACCTTCATGTACCATGAAATGGCACTTTCCCAGTTTAGTACCAGATTAATCTCCATACATCTCTTCAGCACTCTTTTCAGATTCCTAAGGCAGTCATCGAACGAGTTTCCCACCATTGAGAAATCATCCATGAAAACTTCCATTATGTCCTCTACCATATCTGTGAATATGGCCATCATGCACCTTTGGAATTGAAGAGTGCATTGCATAGGCCAAACGACATTCTCCGGAGAGCGTAGATGCCATATGGACAGGTGAATGACGTTTTCTCTCTATCCTCCGGGGAAATAGAGATCTGATTATACCCTGAGTATCCATCCAAGAATCAAAATTGGGACCTCCCTGCGAATCTATCTAACATATGATCAATGAACGGCAGGGGAAAATGGTCTTTTTGGGTGGCCTTGTTCAATCTTCTGTAGTCCATACAAATTCGCCATCTCGTGACTGTTCTTGTTGAGATCAACTCGTTGTTCTCGTTTTGCACCATAGTCATTCCACCTTTCTTTGGAACACACTAAACTGGGCTAATCCAGTTGCTATAGTAGATGGGAAAAATGATTCCCGCATCGATCTAACCACTTTATCACTTCCTTCTTCACGACTTCTTTCATGTTGGGGTTCAGCCTTCTTTGATGTTCTTTGGAAGGTCGATGCCCATCTTCCAGTAGAATCTTATGCATATAGAAGGCCGGGCTGATACCCTCAATATCTGCAATGGTCCAATCAATTGCAGTTTTGCACTCTATTAATACTTGTAAAAGTTGTTCTACCTACACATCTAACAATCCAGATGAGATAATAACAGGAATTCGAGTTAGGTCCCAAGAAAGCATACATGAGGTGGGATGGTCGCGATTTCAGTTCCTACTGTGGTGGCTCTTCGATTGATGGCTTAGCTGGAGGGGTCTTTTTTTTTAAGTGTAAAGACTCGAATTCGAGCTCTTTTTTCCAGTACCCTTGGCCTTCAAGAGCCAACACCCACTCCGCCAAGTCCTCACCATTTACCTCTTCTAAATTCATGAGGCAGCCTTGCATTAAGTTCCGCATCAGCTTCCTCCATGATCATATCCACAACTTCTATCAAAGAGCAATTTGCAAACTCACTAGATAGTCGCATAGACTTTTGCACATTAAATGTTATTTCTTCGTTATTTAGCCTCATTTTCAGTTCTCCAGTTTCAAAATCAATCAGAGCTCTTCCTATGGACAAGAACGGTCTTCCCAAAATTATGGGAATCTCCTCATCAACCTGGCAATCCAGAATGACAAAATCTACCGGAAATACAAACTTTCCAACTTGCACAAGTGCATCGTCAAGTATACCTGATGGCTTTTTCACCGTTCGTCAGCTAGCTGTAGTAACATGGATGTGGCCCTTGCACTTCCAATGCCTAACTTTTTATATATAGCCAATGGCATCTGATTTATGCTCTCCCCCAAGTTACACAATGCTTTGGCGAATGCATAGCTACTTGTGGTGCATGGAATTGTGAAGCTTCCAGGGTCGGATAGCTTATTCGCTATAGGTCTTGTCACAAAACACTACAAGTCTGATTCAATATCACAGTTGCCAAGTCTTGAAAGTCGAACTTGCGAGACATCAAGTCCTTTATCATTTTTGCATAACCGGGCAACTCTCTCAAAGCATAAATTAGAGGAATGTTTACCTGAATTTGCTTCAACATTTCCATGAATTTTTTGTACTGCTCATCTTTCTGATATTTAGCCAACCTCTGCGGGAAGGGTGCTAGAGGTCGCTTCCTTCCTGTGACTTGAGTTAGATCCTGCCCAGGCACTATTTCTGACGCCTTCTCTTGCACTTTCTCAGTCTCCTTTGAAACCTCTTTTTCTTTGCTTGTTTCCTCTTGTGCATATTGTACCGTTACCTCTATTAACCCTGTTGAATCGTCCTCCTCAATTGGTACTGGCACAAGTATCTCAGTTGGTCGGCTTTCGCGAGCAATTTCTTGCTCTAGATCAAGATCTCTACCATTTCTTAAACTCACCGCCATAAGCTGCTTCGGGCCTTGCTCTTTCGGATTGACATTTGTGTCCGCAGGTAACGTCCCTTGGGAACGATTATTCAGAGCCATAAATATCTGCCCTAAATGAATCTCAATGCTTTTTATCGCTGATTCATGTGCTTTAACCTTCTCTTGCATTTTCCCAACGGACCCAATCAGTTGTTGCAGCATTCCTTTAATTTCAAAAATGTCATCATCTTGTCTCACTATCTGTTGTTGTTGAGGTTGTTGATAAGCTAGCTGCTGATTTTGCTAATTGTATCCATGTTGCCTTTGGTAAGGCACGACTTGACCTCGTGGTCGCATAGCTCCCAAATTTTTGTTGTTATTGTACTACTTTTGTGCTGGTCTATACTGTTGATTCTGCTGCCCCTAATTCTGACCACCTTGCCTCTGGCCTCCATTGCCCACATAGTTCATATTATCTTGATAGCTTTGATTGTCAC